TGTTGTTTAACGATCAACCGAGACACAACACAGCATCACCTAGCTAAACCTTAGCAGCAACCGGGCAGCAACCTAGGAAGCCTCGTATCACCCATAGCTAAAGCCTATCAACAACCTAGTATCTCCTATAGCTAAAGCCTTTTGTAACAACCTATAAACAACCCAACGTCATCTAGTCAAAGCCTATAGTAACAAGGGAAGCAACCAAGAAATAACTAGCATTGCCTAGATAAGACCTATAGCAAAAAACTACAGATGCAACCAGACTAGTCTTCAAAATTATCCGGCTTCGCTGTTTCAACCACTGAAAGTTTCACCTCCCCCCCATTTTCGATCACTTAATTTCGTTTTAATATACTTCTTGATTCCTACACTACAATTGAAGACAACGAATAATATCCTCTGATGCTTTCCAGTTGGCTAAATTGTCTGTCGCATTCGTATGGTTGTGTAACAAAGAGACGGGCCTCTTCAAAAAGCTCTTTAACCATACTTGACGTACTCCAAGAAAGAGTTGTGGGAGGTGTGTGAATAGCGAACTTTAGAACCAAATCAAATAGGAATCGAATACACATACAAATCGAATAATATTCGAATAGTTTACGAATAGCAAGGTTGCCATTTTCAATGCAGCCATACAATGGCAATGCCACCGTTATTGAAAGAGCCCAAGAACTCCACAGTATCTTCTGTGAAATTAATCACTCTGTATAGAGATGGGGAATGAGATTAAGATTCCAGAAGAGAGGTAAGAGAATAGCAATAAAAAGAAAGAATATAAACAAATATGAAACGCGCTAGTAAACTTGACAAAAGATATTATTAACCATGGCGTCAGGCTTTCGACATGAAATATTCAATCGTTTAATCTCTTTGGCAAGGCCATATTCAGAAAGGTAATTGAAGAGCGACTGTCAAACCCGTCTCTGTTCCGTTTTGTCGCGCAACGGGCCTAATGTGCTGTGCAACGCATAACAGTTTCAAGTATACGGTACTACTGTTACGTGAGGCTGTTGCTGACCTCCACTCTCCCTTTTCTCTCTCTGCGAAGAATGATTTGGTTGGCTGGGTGGACCTGGGTGGATCGTACGTGGGCCCCACGCAGAACCACATCCTGCGTCTCGCCAATGAGCTGCAAGTGGACACGTATAAGATATTCGACGACCTCAAGTTGCTGCACTTCAGCGAGGTACGTATATACGCGTGAAGACGCGAGCCTATCCGTTTCACCTCCATCGCCCGCTTTCCTTTCTTTACTGAATTCCTCCTTTTTTTTCTCTCTTTCTGTCCTCCTATTTTCATTTCCTCTATCTATTTTGTCCTCCCAAAAGAGTAGGCAGGCGTTGTGCCTCTCCAGGTGGCAGTTGTTAGCCTGGCCGCTCCCTCATTCCCCTCTGTCCTTGAGCATTTTTGTATGCAAATCAAATAAGTAAATGCATAGCCCCCTATGTACCATATAGGAGGCTTTTTACTACCATACAGTTTACCATAGCCTCCTATATAGGAGGCTATTGTAAATGAGGTGTGACGGAATTCCATGTGTTTATATATACTCACAGGGCAAGGCGTACCCGTACGAAACCACGTGGGCCCACTTCGGCCTCAACGACCCCCTTGCATGGTTCGACATCAACTACGTCATGCGCAGGATGGACATTATGATGGAGCAGGTATGCAGAACGACGTTGCAATTAAGATTTCATTAGGTGTCTTTGGGGGTAAGAGAAAATGTGCTAAAGTGACACTGCGAGACATCACCCATTAAAATTTCGAGTAAACGACATCAATGCTGTTCATTTCATAGCCTCCCAAATTTTAAGAAAGGTTTGCAATCATAAATCATAAAGATCGACAACGATAATTGGTTGCACTTATAATTCAATCATCGCTGCGGAGGAAAACTGTGCATAAGATCACGGCACCTACACTGTAGAAAGAGACGTATGCCTGGCAATGGGGAACGGAATATACATAGCCTGAACGGAATATACATAGCCTGTTCTCCATTACCAGGTGATGTCAAGTTAACTCGCGACTATTGTGGACTGTTGCGACAAGCCTTTGCAGCCTCTAGAGACCTGGGATGAGGATGCCGAGGCTGCGGGAAGGTGATTGATTGATTGATTGATTGACATGTGGGGTTTAACGTCCCAAAACCACCATATGATTATGAGAGACGCCGTAATGGAAGGCTCCAGAAATTTAGACCACCTGGGGTTCTTTAACGTGCACCCAAATCTGAGCACAAGGGCCTACACCGTTTCGCCTCCATCGGAAATGCAGCCGCCGCAGCCGGTATTCGATCCCGCGACCTGCGGGTCATCAGCCGAGTACCTTAGCCACTAGACCACCGCGGCGGGGCAGGAATGTGAACATAGGGTTTATTTACATTATGTACCTGGCAAACGCTCTCTCGATCTATCTGAGTGTCTCATAATAAAGGGTACGTCCTCCCCAGATCCTTAGATCGGGGAAAGAGTGCAGATTGCACTGTCCAATCACATGTGACATACAAATTCCGAGGGCGACGCCCACAGCTGCCCAGGTAAACGGCCCCTAATGGGGCGTGGCCACTCCACTGCACAAGTCGCACGAAGGGGCTCTTCCTTGTCTTGTGGGCGCCGCTGGGTGAGGGGTTCCCCACTCAGACGATAGCATGTATCAAAAGGGTCTGCCGCAACAAAGTTCAAAAGGTCCGCCGATCTGCTCGCTCAATTAGCGGGGCAAGTTGTCATTGGAGCTGACGCCGCTGTCCCTTCCAAGGAAGATGTTGCGTCTGCGGAAACCATTGTGGTCTTCTCGGGTAACTGTTTATGGCACCTGACGGCACGACGCCTCGCTTTGCGGTCAGTAAGAACAATTATTACATGGCAGACATCAGGCCGGCAGCCCTTCGGCGACTTCTTTGACGAAGGAAGAACGCAGCTCCCTCGTCGGCCCAGACACCGGTCGTAACAGGACCAAACAGTTATCTCACTCACTCACATGCAAGGAAAAAAAAACAGCCCGAACTTGGAAAGCTTGTGTCAAATACTTCGTCGGAAGTATTTTACACCAAGTTGCCAAGTGTGACATCAAGCACCAAGTTCACGGTGCTTGATGTCACACAAGTGGTCCCACTTCCTCTATTCTGATGGCGTCTTACCAACAATCGTGGAAATCCGCTACGTAGAAAAATCTCCAAACTTAAATTCTTGTATCTTTTATATCATGAGAATTATCAAATATCCAGAACAGAGTATCCACTTGAACTGAGAACTAACCACCCCAAAACAATATGACTATACGTAAGTGTCATAACATTATTGAATACTCCTTTTCTGTCATCTAGAGCATACTGGAATAAACTGTCATCAGCTGCTGTGAACTGTAATGCCATAGAATCACCAACTCAAGATATCCAACATATTAATTTGTTCTAAATGGCTCGTCAGTACGACGATAAATTAACTGCACAAGATGACGAGAGGTAATGAGTAGGGCTGAGTGGATGTTATAAACTGCTATTTATTCTTACAGTTTGTGTGTTCACGCCTGTGAACGGAACATTGAATCTTTGACACTGTTTTTCTTTTACACTATACCAAGTACTCTAACTTTATTGAGCAATGAATTCTTTCATTTGCACTGTGTTGGTCTCTCTACTTGCGATACCATTTTAACTTTACTGCGTATCCACTCCTGTTTTGAGCATGCATGTTCTGCAGTATACTGAAAAAAAATATTGACAGTAGCGTGAAAGAAGCAATTTAAAACAGACGTAACGTTTAGTACCGGCGTTCAAGTCTTCGTCTCGCCCCTGTCAGACAACGCATTTTGTGAGTCCTGTGCTCCGCATGCAGGTTCCCGCTGTAGATCCGTGGAACTGTCCCCACGCGGAGGAGTGGGATGCTATGACGCTGCAGAGCTTCTTCGAGAAGGAGTCGTGGACGAAGTACGTATCTGTTTTATTTTGATAGCAAACCCCATGGCGCATGCACTTTGGCCGTCGCCGTTGGTGTCGCCCTGAGCCCTTGTGTAAACTCGAAGGGTTACAACTTGCTAGTTACTAACATCAGTATGAATTAATCGGTTCGCCTGCAGTGAACAAAGCGAATAAGCGGAAGCTTTAACTTCCGAAACCTTACAGGCTCATTCCCAAAGCTGTCTAGCCCAACAGAACTTAGACATTGTGCACTTTATTCCAGTCATTCAGTGTTTTTATGCAGAGTTATTGCTGACAAGACGCTTCTCGCAATTTTTCTCATCATTGGTTAGTCTTAAACATTCGCTGCACGAAGGTCTGTGCTTTCGGTGCTCTGCAATCTACAGCCATGCCGTATGCCAAAAGTTTCTTTGAAATAAACCAGATTTTAAATTTCAAATACGGAAAATTCGCGTAGATTCACGCTAGATGATTTTTGTTCAACGCAATCCATCGAGTCTAAGAAAACATCTTAATAACTGTCAATATAAAGGTATTATACTGAAAAATTCGGCAGATCCCACGTACCTTGGGAATCGATGTTATGCGAAGCATGTGGAGGGAAGGTCACCGTGTTGTAATTTTTTAATTGAGCGACACGTCATGAAATGACACTAAATATAGGTATAAATGTTGCACGCACACACGTATACGTTGAAGAGTTGCAGGTGTTTATATAACCAGCTGTTTGCACTTGCACAACGATGCCAACAGGAACACGAGTACTAGCAACACCAGAAGCTGATTTGAAGCGCTAATGCTCGCGAGGACGCTGGCCCTGGGTATTACTACATAAATCAACTTCAGCGCATGGCACCTAACTACAATTTATGTTAACCCGACATGTGGGCTGCATCATAGGAGTGCATACGTATTTTTTATTAAATTGAATAATCAGCACTGCAACTTACAATTGACGCTTCACGAACATTAGGGTATGTTTGAAAAGTTGTTCCAAGACTTGGCGTGGATCTCCGGTACAATGCTTGATTGCTACACAAAATGATTGGGCTCGTTTACTGCTTGAACCCTGGAATTCACTCTTTGTATTCATCGGGTAAAAGCTGTTGATGACAGATTTTTCTTAACGCTCGTTTGTTAAAGTTGTCCATGTGCATGTGTCCTCGTCGTTCCTGGGTCAGTCACCTGTGGCACATACCCGCTTACCAGTGGCACACATACTTGGCCGCGTGTATGTTCCATTGTCTGGCGTAAAGTGTTTGACGACGTACGCGACAGGTTTGTGACATTATTTATGTCTTGACTAGCGCGTCACGTTCGTAAAAGCATCTTACCCTATCGTACTAATTTTGGCTCACGCCAAGTTAAGGGGGTGATCACGAGAGCACCCAGACGTAAGCGCTAAATAGGTATAGATAGATACGTAGATAGACGCCAGAAGTGCTTGGAATACGCGAAGAAATGACGCTAACTAAGCTTATGCCAGCCAAAACATTAACGCGTTCTTGTGTGTGCTGGTATTTTTTCCCCCTGTATTGAGAGCTGACTCTAGAGATGACACACTGCCAGATCAAGGTGTCTGCGCATTTTCCGTTAAGTACTAAGCTCCCGTCCCGGCCTTGGTGGTCTAGTGGCTAAGGTACTCGGCTGCTGACCCGCAGGTCGTGGTATTGAATCCCAGCTGCGGCGGCTGTATTTAAGATGGAGGTGAAAATGCTATAGCCCGTGTGCTCAGATTTGGATGCACGTGGTTGAAATTTCCAGAACCCTCCACACAGGCGTCTCTCATAATAACATGGCTGTTTTGGTACTTTAAACCCCACATATCATCACTGTGCTCCCATTTCTGGAAAAACATCGACCGTAATATCTTCCCGCATGCTATTGCAAGAGTATATATGACGTAGAGTTGATAGAGTTGACTAAGGTTACACGGCGGGCTTGCTGGTTATCCATAGTATCTGAGGCATAGCGCATTCAGGATGGTACAGAGAAGCCACATACACAGCGCTGTATGAGTTATGTGTCTTCTTCTCTGTCCCGTCCTTGGTGCGATATGCCTCAGATACTATGACATCAAGGTTCGGGTTGCGTTAAGCAGTTAGTTACATGCCGGGATGAGCTGCGTAAATGTGTCATAAACGAAGAAATTAGGCTTATGTATTTATCATCTGGAGTTCGGCACTACAACACAGTATTACTATGTGGTTTTATCTGCTTACCAGCTCAGTTTTCCGCTCTTGCATATCATGTCCACATATTTATACCTAGCCGCCAGAAACCTGCACTGGGCAGTTGTCGGTGTACATTAAAATCGAAACAATATAAGTTGCACGGTGGGCTTGTTGTGTGCTCTGTCCCACCCTGGATGCGATATATACATCAGATAATATGGAAATGATAGCCCTTAATTTGATGCAAAATCGATCAAATTTATGGTGTTGAAACATACCTAGCCGCTTTAAGTTATGAATAGGTAAACCGCGCTTTCCTTACACATTTTTTTTCACTGAGAGAACGTAGCAAGGCCTTATTTCTAGTAAAGCATGCAGTAACTGTCAGACAGGTCTTACATTTCACTTTCTGCAAAGCCATTTCTGTTACAATATTGTCGTGCTTTCTGAGTGGGCTATCTGGGATAATCGTGCCGGCAGACACGAAATCTCGCATACGAATAATCACTAACATATTGCACCTATATCGAAGAAATAGCACACCAGTACACGTAGTGGAGCCGCCACTTAATTCTTTAACGGGGCGGAGCGATCGGGGGCGACCGGATGCAATACCCATCCGGTTGGGGCGACCAGATACGGAGCGACCGGATACTCGTAGCGCACTGAGCAAAACAGAAACCTTATATTCTACCACTGAAGCAATCAGAATTTCGGGTGCTCAAGTTAACCTTGAATTAAAAAAAAACACGTTGCGAAAGTCAGTTAGGTCGGAGAGGTCAATGCTTTGACAATCACCCGTCAGGACGCCGACCACATGAGAAAATAATGTATTGCCTTTTTATTCAATGAGGACACCACTGCGCCGGTACATTCGTGAGAAGGAACTAATCGTTGAATTTTTACGACCCACGACCCCGATATGATCATGAAAAGCATATATACAGTGGAGAGATCCGGAAGTTTCGACCACTTGGGGTCCTTTAACGTGCACCTAAATCTTTGCACGCGGGCCTCAATCCTTTTCGCCTCCATCGAAAATGCAGCAGCGATTCCGGGACCTTCGGGTAAAGAGCCAAGCCCACTAACCACTAGTTACCGCCGCGGATATGACAGGAACACATATCATTACACGCTAATGCGCCCTCTGATCGTTCGCAGATGATACGGCAGGAGTGATCTATACGATATGTATACCTGTTGCCGACAGAGACTCTGCTTGATTTAGAGCAAAATTTGGTTGTGGAACACCCCGAGCTTGTTCTACAAATATTCGAACCACTGTTTCAATAACTCTGGCATGACTGATTGGCCGACAGCGTCCGGTAGCCTTCGCGTAGAGTGAGCAAGTGAGCAGCGCCGCAATGAAGACCCCCTGCAGACGTCATGCGAGATACGGCGACACTCAAAGATCTGGCCTATAATTCCGCTTGTTTATAACAAATTTAGATCAAGTTTAAAAAAGAAGACGAAGACGAAGTGATTCGATTACGGAACACACCTTGCTCGTCTTTGCGCTTTTCTGGTTTTTTCGCTGCAATTGTGGGGTCTATCGCTTCATACATCGCGTTGATGGATGTTCAACCTCACGGGACACCGTCCGAGTCCGCTTCGACCGCGGGGACTGCTTCGAGGAAGCGAGGAAACGCGTCTAATGAGAGTGAGGACACTAAGCTGCACTCCGCATCTAGCGACGAGTCCTCGGACGAGGGCTTCCAACCCGTCCTGTACCGCAAGGCTAAACGACAGATCGTCAATGCATCTTCGGCATCAAGCACGACCACCGTAAAAACTGCCCCTCAGCGATGGCCTCACTCCATCCCATTTTTGCCGCTGAAGGCTACCGACAGTCTACGCGGGCTGAACAGGCAAGCGCTCTCTGTGTATCTCGAGAATATTACGCCAAATGAGATCAAAGAAGTTCGACTAAACGCAAGAAGGAACATCTTGGCAATCAATGCGCTGAACCCATGTGCGCTGAACGCGCTTCAGAAAGTAACGCAACTGGGTAACATCAATGTCAAGTATATATAATACCAGCTGATAGCACTACTTCAACAGGAGTAATTTATGACATCGCCACTGAAATTCCAAACTCGGATCTCTCAGTGCTGATAAAACCGGCAAATGAAGATAACGTCATTGTGAATGTCGGCCACCTTGGTAACACACATTGTGTGAGAATTACGTTCAAGAAGGACTGTCTCCCCTCCCATGTGAAACTTGGCCATTTTCGTCACCAGGTCCGACCATTTATTTCAAAACCTATGCGATGTCATAAGTGCCAGAAGATCGGCCATGTGCAGGGTGCATGCAGGAACCCCGAAGGGTGCCCCCGATGCTCAGAACCACACTCCGTGGACAAATGCAGCGCAATCATACTAAAGTGCCCTAATTGTCAAGGTGCCCACAGTGCATCTTCCTAAGACTGTCCACGCATAAAGAAGGAGTTTAATATGCTTAGAAAAATGATGTGAGACAGCTCTACCCACAAAGAGACCGCGGAAAAAGTCCGGCGAAGATGACGACGTCACCGTCGAAGGTCTTCGCGAAGACCACAGTCAACTACAAGAAGAAAATCAACGCATCTGGGAACGGCGCCCACTGCAGGGTGCACCACGGTGAACGCAGACGATGGAAGAGAGAAAACAAGTAGATATCTCTCTACTGAAGAGTGGCCGGCACTTACGCGCACGCGACTTGTGGAAGAACCGCATCAAAAGCCGCCTTCATAAGAGCAAGCTGTGACAACAGAGGAGCAGCGGAACTTGGACATGCAAGTGATTGCTCTTCTACGACTCATAATTACTGCCATTCGCATGGTTTTAAACAACA